TTATCTATCTGGATAAATAGATTGATAGATAGGTCGAGATAGGAAGAGATTAAGATAGATAGATAGATAGATAGATATCAACAGAGTAGATATATCTGAACAGAGTACATAGAAACATAAATATGAAGAGATAGATAGATAGATAGATAGATAGATAGATAGATAGATATGAATAGGCTGAGATAAATAGACAGATACATATGAACATATCAGATAGATAGATAGATAGATAGATAGATAGGAACTGTCATAGATAGATAGATAGATAGATAGATAGATAGATATGAATAGGCTGAGATAAATAGACAAACAGATAAATATGAACATAGATAGATAGATAGATAGATAGATAGATAGATAGATAGATAGATAGATAGATAGATATTAATACAGGGAAATGAGATCATATACATTTGGATAAAAAACAGACTATGATAGATAGATAGATAGATAGATAGATAGATAGATAGATAGATAGATATTAATACTGTGAAATGAGACCATATATATTTACATAAGGAACAGATTAAGATAGATAGATAGATAGATAGATAGATAGATAGATAGATAGATAGATAGATAAAGGCGAACAGACTGGCATAGATAGATAGATAGATAGATAGATAGATAGATAGATAGATAGATGTGAACAGACTGACATAGATAGATAGATAGATAGATAGATAGATAGATAGATAGATAGATAGATAGATAGATAGGAACTGACTGTCATAGATAGATAGATAGATAGATAGATAGATATGAAGGAATATTATTTTATTATTGAAAAATGATTGTTCCTTCTTTTGCAGTCCGGCATATGATATGGCCGAAAATGTTAAGATAAATGGAATCATGGAAGTGTGGGATCCTTGTATTCAATCCTACCTCGTAAATCATTCATCCTGACATAATATCTGAGCTTGAATAGCAACTGGCAATGCCTGCAGAAAACCTACAATTCTTGTCGTCACTCTCCGCAACTCGTATGCACATCTCAGAATTAGTTTAAGTTTCTGTCGCTTCTCATCTAGCCTGATTTTCACTCTATTTATCACCTTACATCATTCTTCATCTCCACGCCTTCCGTCTTTTTTCCTCCATTTTAATTTCTTTTTTGCTAGGAAGAAAGACCTACCTTTTGCCATTCTCATCCTGCCGAGAAACAAGTAGAAAAATCGATGCCGATTACTGTGTCTTTCAAAAGGCAAGATATTTAAACGTCTATTTTTTCCACCTAGTTTTATTCAGCGCCTATAGCAACAATATAGTTCTTTAGAGTCGCGTCGCTGTGAAGCAATGACTTACCAGACAAGTCTCCCAAACTTTATTTTCAATAACATGTCCTTTCATATCTCCCACAGGACACCTTTTTCTACAGGTGTGCTCTGTACACGAGCAGTCTTAACCACAGTCGATCAGACTTGGTAATTATATATAAAATAATAATTATGTATATATATATATATATATATATATATATATATATATATATATATATATATGAACATCTCTTTCTCTATATATATATAAATATACATATATATATATATATATATATATATATATATATATATATATATATATATATATATATATATATATATATATATATATCTTTATTTTAGTGTAAATATATATATATATATATATATTATGAAATGGACAATGTTCGACAATTATTTAAAGACATTTTTATCATGCTTATACGTTCTTTTTATAGATCCATTTCATAATGTGTGACGTCATTTGCCTACATTTGGAGACGCATCGAGCAGATATGAACGTATGAGAGAAAATCATGGAGAGGCGTAGTTTAAAAACAGTAAAATCGTCCTTGCTAACCGAAACGTTCCTCTGTGGCTCAATCGGTAAAAGCACGTCAGGCTATATGACGGTTCCGTATAGGATACAGGTTCGATTCCTGTCGGAAGACGCATATTTTCTATGAAGATTTAACGGAAATTCAACTCGGTAAATTTCTATAATGTTACAGTATTTTACATTATTCGGACTATTGTCCTCATCTTTGTCGCCATATTTGTCACAACGTTTCGGCCGTTGAAACGTTGTGACAAATATGGCGACAAATATGAGGACAATAGTCCGACTAATGTAAATACTGTACATAATACCTCATCTCAGAAATATAGACAAACTCTTCTATAATGCTGTTTATTATAAGCAGATCATTTACTTAAATATTTGTATCTATAAAAAGAACGTATAAACATAATAAAAAACGTCTTAAAACATATATATATATATAGTGTTTTATGGTATGCTATATTTGTAGATTAAAGTTCTCAATATCAGGGATAATGCGTATGTTAAATATAAAAGTGGACATTGAGGTAAACACCCAGCGGCGACAGTTTTTTTTCTCTCTATATATATATATATATATATATATATATATATATATATATATATATATATATATATATATATATATATATATATATATAAGTACAGAGCAGGTAAAAATGGAATAAAATTCCGATAAACAAAACACTATTCTTAAAAGAGTGCTTAATACTGAGTAGAGAAAATAATATTTATTCAAAATCTTGACATATGCATGTGATAACATCACTACAAAAATTATAATTTTGTTTCAACACTGCTGGTTTCTTATCAAGTTAAGGTGTTGATTGCAATCAACAACATCAATCAACACCATTAATTGATAAGACACAGTAGTGTTGAAATTTTTGCAGTGATGTTATAGTTTTGAATAAATATTATATATATATATATATATATATATATATATATATATATTATAGATAGATAGATATTAATTCAATAATATCAAAATCTGCTACTTTGTTTCATGTCATGTAATCATCAGGCAGAAATAATGAGAAGTCTTTTTCATGCTTGAACATCTGATTAAAAAATGAAAAACCCAGGTTGTTGTGTGTGTGTGTGTGTGTGTGTGTGTCTGTGCGTTTATATATTGGATCGGATTTCCTACATTTTTCAACCTATTTCAACAAAACTTCACAGGACTACGTAAAATTACCTTGCGGTGGGTCTGACAGCGCCAAAAATTGAAAAAAACACAATTGTTTTTGCACGAAATCAATTTGAAAACACGATTAAAAGGCATCACGAGAATGAAAGGGGGGGCAACTCATATCGAGTTATATTTATTATAAAACCCAGGTTGTGTGTGTGTGTGTGTGTGTGTGTGTTGTTCGTTTATATATGGGATCAGATTTCCTACATTTTTCAACCGATTTCAACAAAACTTCACTTTTTTTTGGCAGGTAGTGTTTCTTATTGTCTTGCACACTTTTTTCTTTATTTTTACATTCAGAATGCTTTAAAAATTCCATTTACAATACAATCGTTTATAATAAAATTCTATTCAATCAGTAGACTCATAACGATTGAAAACAATGCTTTTGAGTTTGGGTTTGACCAATTCGTAAAAAAAAAACCCCAAAAACAAAGAAAAAACAAAAAAAAAAATAATTGAGACATGCGTGTCCGTCAACCTTAAACAATAATCTTTGTCAATTTTATTTTTCAGTCTTTATGATGGTCGATACTTGATCTATGTCTTACTGTTACATTCCCGGGCAACGCCGGGCTCTACTGCTAATAATAACTAAAACGAAAATGTTTACAAAGTGCTTTTAATTTTTAGTTCATCCACAGTAAATTTGTGTCCAGGATCTTACAACATTTCACCGTTCATGGCAGATTCTTCTATAATCACAAAGCGGGATATTTAATAACAAAGACGATGGAAAGAAAAAGAAAAAGAAAATGAAATCTAAATGAAATTGACAAGATTATATACACCCAAAACACATCGAAAAAAATTATTTTCAAAATTTTTTTTCAAAATTTAAAATTCCCAGTGTTTCTAGTTCATGTGTGTGTGTGTGTCGTCACATCAGCATAAAAAAATCAAATCTGTTTAAGTCTGAAGGGCCAAAACGTGTCATTTGAAAACATTGTCATATATATTTCCCTTAAAATTTCTTGATATATAAAATATTATATATCATTATCCCATACATACATACATATATATATATACAGAGTGTAATATCAATATTGTCCAAATCGAGTAACAACATGGAATAATTATCCATCCCACAAAATGTTTAATATCTAAAAATCCAACAAACTAATTAAGTTTCTTTTTTTCCAGGTTTTCAGATAAGACCTTTAGCCATCTTGACACCATTTATCGTAAGAATCACTGAAAACCCCTTTGAGTTATTCAGATAGAAATAGAATAGGTTAAAATCGTTTGTGTCAGCTCCACTGGCTTCTCAACTGAACAATGGGGAGAGGAAAAAGATATTTCAGGCCTTCAGTAATGGCAGCAACATTCATTTTCTGGCTTCCATCTTCAGAGTCCATTCAAGATCCATCATGAAATCTAGATGAGGAGATCAAAACAACAAGAGAGATCCTCATTTCAACTTAGGGCTAAATACATACTTATTGTTCAAAGTAGAGTCTAACAGTGTTGTAAAAACCTCAGACAATTTCAGTAAGATATTTTAATCATTTCTAAGATACAACAGTTTAAACTTAATTTAACAGTAGAATAATTTTACTATTACACGATTTGAATAATTTTGCTGTTACACGATTTGAATAATTTTGCTGTTTGATTGTATGTGATCTGGCCCTAAACTTTAGAATGCTTACGGTCAAATCACGCTGAAAACACCGGTTCTCGTGCGATCACCTAAGTTAAGCAGCGTAGAGCCAGGTCAGTACTTAGATGGGGGATCGCTTGGGAACACCTGGTACTGTAAGCCCCCAACCCTTACCTCACAGTCGGTGGGGGGGTGTAAACGGTAGTGTCAGAGCTATGCCGCCCGGAACTTCGTTCCTGGTAGGGCCACCCAAGGCGGACAGGTCTGACACACACGCCGGTTAACAAGGGCTCTGGTGAAAATCCAAGGAGCGTCTGCATCGGTAACCGGCGGCTTCTGGTCGTTCCTGTCTCTGCGTCTGTGGGAACCCCGCGGCAAGCAAGAACGTTATCCGAGTAGGCCTGGGTACCCTACTTCTGTAATTTATCCCAAGAATCTTCTTCTCATAACAGGAAGAAGCCGGCTCAATCCGCCCAGGGTGAATGCCGCATCAGACAGACAGACAGAAACTTTAGAATGGTTTTGTGGTGGAGATTCTTCGTTGAGTGATGATCCATTATCGAGTCGATCAACTGAAGTTGAAACAATTCAAATGAAGACAATTCTGATAATAAACGAAGTTATACGGTGCAGAACTATCGTTTCCAATATATCCAAGTCAGTCGTTTATGTTAGCCGCTTTGATGGGTGGCATCCTTATTTGAATTTAAAATTCATTCGTGGGATCTATTTCAGTGTCCACCTGAAATGCAAAAGAAATAGTCCCTTTGCTTACCTAAAAAATGCCTACACAAACCAAATGAATCTTACTAAATTCGGTTTTCATAAAAGAAGCTGATGCCGTGTATTTACATAAGTTACCACTGTAAGCTCCTCCTGAAGAACCAAGCGATTGATGCGAACAAACGCTGCTCCTATTTAATCAAATCGAACGCAGTAATCGATGAATAGTCGATATTCATGCTTGATTGCTACACCGTTTTTCCTATGACACAGTTTTTATTTTAACTACCTCCACACCACGGTAAATCCTATGCCCGAAAAAAAATGAGTGCTAAAGGGACGGTTTTTTCCTATGGCACCGCTATTATTTTAACTACCTCCACGGTAAATATTATTGGGAAACATATACCTTCGTGCTCGCAAAAATATAATGAGTGTCAAAGGGACGGTTTTTCCCATGACACCGCTATTATTTTAACTACCTCCACGTTAAATATTATTTG